AATTGTACTAAGCTGTTGCTTAGTTTTACCCTAATGAGAAATCAGTTCTAGGACCGACTTCGGAGCCCTCACCTGTGAGGACATCTCTGCAGTGGGCGCCGCACAACTGCTCCCTGCCAGTCTTCTGGTTTTTGGTCTTCAGAAGGTGAACCACCTCAGTGTAGTTGGCAATGGCCGCACCGTGGCGGGCGGCTGTCAGCGCGATGGCCAGGTTCATCCGGGCGTCATTGTGTTGACCTGATGAGGACAGAATGATGATGCTGTGATTCCTCACAGAACGTGGCCAAGTGTCAAAAACTCAAGACCCTAATGGAAGACAGATGCTTTATTGGTCTTAGTCTGATTGTACAAAGGGCAGAACTGAGGTCCAGGAAGTGAAGACCCACAAGCAGGAAGATCTTTTCTCTTGGTTCTTCAGAGATTACTGGTTTCTTAGTGGTATGGTTTCACACTGATGACAAACGTGTTGTTGTTTTTTTGTCCTGAACACAGTCTTTAATAATGAAGTTTTGTTTTGCACTTTGTTGGAGAACAAGACATGCCATAAGACATCAGATTCATTGTGAACATGTTTACTTTAGAAAGATTTGTAAGAATAATAACCAACGTGCCGAAAGAAACAAACTAATGAATTGCTTGGGTCTTCAGACCAGGTGTACCTTCAGCAGACTGAACACACTACATTGGCATTTTAAAGGCAAATGTAGACACACACCAAAGGTAATTCAGTGAGAGGATTACATGTTTGCTGTCCAGTTTCTGCGAGAGCAAAACGAAGCTCCGTTGTCGGCGGCAGCAGGAGGGAGAGAGCGCTTGTCGTTCTGCCAGACCACCACGACGCTTCTCCTCAGCGCCGGAAGAGAAGGTCAGGTTTCTAAATGTCACGGGCGTGATTGTTCCAGACGGAATAATTGGAGAAAAGACGCTCCGATCCTCCACCATCCTGCGCTACCCCCTCCCCTTTCCTCAGAGCATTTGATGGAGGGGGGAAGAATATGGAAATCAAACATAACCTCAACGAGGAATCAGTACTTCTGTCTCTGTTCTCTTCTAAAAGCTGACTAACAGGTAAAATAAAAAGATTCTAACAGAAAAAATGTGACTTTGTTTTCAGCGCAGGAGTTTTCTCATGTTGCGATAGATGCACAACATGTGCTTGGTCCTCTTTGTCCCCCCCAAAAAAGGAACATGCAACCTTTGTTGAATCCCACCAACCTGTCAACATTTTTTTCAGAGCCGGTGGAGATGGTAAATCAGGATGTTTTCGTCTTTAACCTCCTTTATGGCTTTATTCAGAAAATCTCTGTTCATTTTAATATCTCTTGACAAATTTACCATTTGACAAAAAGAACTAAGTTTCATTTTAGTTTTGTTCCCATATATAACATAAATACTGGCCCAGGATTTATGCTATAATGATAAAAAAAAAATACTCCACTTTATTTCAACATAGGTCTAATTCTTCACACATTCCATAAAGGCTACACTCAATAAACAAAGGTATGACAGAACACAATTTTTAGAGTATTTTGTCTAGCTATGAATAATTTTGTTCAGTTCTGAGCAGTTGCAGTATTTCAGGTCATCAATAAGAGCTGAAGGTAGTTCAAAAAAACAAAAGGCATGGATGCAGGTAGGGAATGTTGATATAAACAATAAGATATGTAAACTATCAAACCCATATTAACCCTGTTGAGTCAGACTCAGCTGCCTTTTTATGTTTACATTAAACTACAAAAGGTGACAATGGGAATGGGAGCCTTTACTCACCATCGTAATAGACGATGGCTCCCACCAACTTGTCCTTGTTCAGCATGGGGAAATACTCCAGAGCTTTGGACTTACTCAGGAGATAGCTGCTCTGTAAGCAGTGGATCCCAGCCACCACGTCGTACATCTTTATTCCTGCCCAATAGTAAGGCAACTGCCACCATCTGGAAATTAAATCCCGTTCTAGTAAAGATGATAGACATAAACAAGTGGTTTGTTGTTTCGGATTTGGACTCTTACTTGTACACCGGAAGCATGATGGGTAATGGCGCTGAAAGATGAGGGGCAATCTGTAGCAGGTTGGCTCGCTCGTGCAGCGCCTCCTTCACCATCATGTACTGAGGTGTCCGTACATAACAAGCAAAGTGAGACGATGCATAAAAAAGGAGCAACAAAACCAAGAGCAAGCAAGATGTGAACGAACCTGTTCGTAGTCTAGCTTCATGATGGCCTTCTGTAGGTAACGCACTCCGCCGTGGATGAGCTTCGTACTCCGGCTGCTCGTCCCCGAAGAGAAGTCGCTTCGCTCTACAAGGGCAGTTCTGAGGTCTGCAAGGTAAAGAAAGACTTCATCAAAGTCGTGTTTGGTAGGCCAGGCAGGAGAGGTCCAAAAGCAAAGAAGAATGTTACTCCGGGTGACGGCGTCTAAGGCACATCCGGCTCCTGTGGCTCCTCCTCCGACAATCAGAACGTCAAACTCCGGAGTGTCTTGCAACGCTGCGAGTTGGGCCTCCCTGGAGGGAAGCTCATTCGCAAAAAGGACCTTCAGTTCTGCTTCGGCTGCCACGCGCGCCAACTGAGCCTGGATGGGACACACAAGTCCAACCGTTTGTAAGTGCAACCATGTTGATGCCTTTTATCTTTAATAGTGGTCTCTATTCTAAAGATGGTACAGAAGAAGAGAGAGCAACACTTTGCTTGAGATGCTCTGAATCATTATAAGCACACTGCAGGTACATTATTGTGGCATTATAATCAGCCCTTGAGTTGACGTGATGTAATGCATAATGACTTGCAATCATTTTCATACATTATGAATTTGTTTTGGTTGTGCATTGAGACTACTCGGTTTCTGAGCTCCACAAATTTGAATTATTAGCGAGTGGCAAAAGTTTGTGAACCTTTGAGTTTAGTCGTAACCTCTGCTAAATAGTTTCAGGAACTTTGGCTCAGTGCTAAAAATCTTTTACCTTCCAGATCTCTTTTCAATTGAAGTTGATTTCCAAAATATAAATTTAAGATCATCTTCAGGGCTTTTGCCATGATGCTTTTTTCCATTTTCCAAGTAAACCAAGAAGCTGCAAAACAGGCTGTATCATGGTCTCACCGCCATTAGGGATTACAGAATAGTCCGGACCTAATACACTCCAGTGATGCAGAACACATTCAGTAATGAAGAATTCATTGTACCAAATAAGAGAAATAGGCGCAAACCATGACACCACCACCATGTTTTACAGGCTGAATCTAGCTACATTGCTTGGAAATAGAGCTTTCTTCAGCCTTCTCAGTTAAACATCACACTTTTGAGAATTTTGGACTAAAGTCTGTAGCTTTTATCCTGGCCATAAAACACTGGACCCTATTTTATTCAAGTGGAGGTTCAAAGACTTTCATTGTTAGCATGTATTTTTTAGATCAGTGGCTCAAGAAGATTTGTGGGATGTGTTGGGGGAAATCTGGTGCCAAGGTAGATACCTAACACTACCATGACTGACTTGGTATATTACAGATTTAGGTTTTGTTTATAAGGCAGGCTGTTCACGTTGTTCATGAACAAGATGTGTAACCACGGCTGTATAGATTGCGGTGTCTAATTCAGGTGTCTCAGGGCCTCAAATATACTTTATTTAAAGCTTATGGTTCTATTTATGTTGGAGCAGTTTGCAGCTGAGTGTGAATGAACTAGTAAGATTCCTCTAAATCTGAGGTCATGGATCTCAACAGGAAGAAAGGAGGATTGTTATCTCAAAGTCTTTAAGTATCTTCTTATATTGCTCATGAGTCACAGGTGTATGGTGTGGTAGATGGATTGTCTTACCTACAGTAAAGAGAGGAATACACTGCTCTGTTGTGCATAAAGAGCTAAGCTAAAAAACAAAACCCTGCTTTAATTAGCAAAGACATGGACATTAGTTTATAAGAATAGTGCAACTTCTCCTTCATGTAGGAAGGATTCAGTTGAGGTGGATGTAAGCAGGATGCTTACTGGGTGTCTTCCTTTGAAGCTTGTTTAGCATGTCCCACTTAGATGGTTGAATGGATGGATTTGATGCATCTATAGATGGATGGAAAGATTGATGGACTTTATTTATTTATTTATTTCTATAGTGCCGATTAACAACAAAGGTCGTCTCGAGGTACTTTACAAATCTGATGGATGGATGAACTATTGATGGATGGTTGGATGATTCTGGAGGTTCACATACTTTTATCAATGAGATACAGCTTATTTAGACAAACACATTACTCTTTATAATTAGATGTTTATGATTATACTTGGCTAAATAAAGGTGTAAAAAGGTATAAAAATGAAATAAGTGAGTAAATTCTGATGAATTTCTAGATGGAAGGAGAAAACAAAAATCATACAGACCTCAAAGGCTTCAGTGAACATGTTTCTAAGAAGCTATGATTGGTTCAAAGGCCCATTTTCTGTGCTTATAATGTTTTCCATTAGATTCAGTGAGCAAGTGAAGTGTTGCTGAAGAAAAGCCCGCCACATTCAGGATTAGATTAGTGACAAAGAAAAGTTAGGAAAGTGCGGAGGGGTTACTTTGTGGCTGCTCCACCATGCTGCTCGCTTTCACACATTCCAGACTAAACACCACTGTTTGATTAGCCAGATACTTAATTTAAAGAAATAATCACAGCTACAGTAGAAGAATTTCATATCTAATGAAATATTTATTCACCTTTCCGTTTAGCAGCTCAGGCTAAATGATTGCATCAAACTGCTTTGAAGCCAGCGCGCCATTTGACTTGCAAATAACGACGGGCGTTTGTAATTTAGGTCTCGCCTATGATATAATCATTGTCTCTTTTCGCTGATGCTCGGTCACAGAATGAAGCGCCGGCACCGATAATCAGGTTAAGTCGGAGGACGGCGTGTCGAAGCTAATGGCCAATCGGACCGCTTTGAAAACTTCCGTGAGCCACATGCCCCGACTGAAGGAGACAAGACGGACATTCAGCTCATCAGCAGTGCAATTGCAGGAATTAGAAGGCATGCATGATTACAAACTATTTATAAGATGGTCGGATTTCATCAGGGTGGACTTCTTGCTTACCAATCCATGCTTGGGTGGAGAGGATGGCGATGGCAAAGAGAGGATATTATCCCACCAGGACACAAAACAGAAATTCAGGTTAGGTTTGAGGCGACCAATAAGGTCAGGAATCTAAAGATATGTCTCACATCTAAACTAAGCTGCTGGAGCTCTCTGCGTGGAGTTATGTATGCCTACGAAGACGTTGTTGTCTTCAAGGATCGCCAGGCCTTATAAACCTAAACTGTCTTCCAAAAGTATTCATACCGCTTGACCTTTTTTCACATTTTGTCAAATTATAACCACAAACCTTCAATGTATTGTAATACATGATTTTTTGTCAACCTGAACACAATGTTTCTAGTTTGAGACGTGGTGATGGCAGCATCATGAGTGACACATTTTGTGATACGTTTTAAATTTATTTGTGATTTGCATTCAGTTGAATCAACTGAAATCTGTGCACCTTGAAAAATATGTTTTTGCTTTAACAGCTGCCACAATTTATCACTTAGATTTAGGTCTAAACTTTGACTTGGTCATTCTAACTCGTGAATTTGTGTGGATCTAAACCATTCTATTGTAGCTTTGGGTGTAAGTTTAGGGTCACTGTCCTGCTGGAAAGTAAACCAACCTGTTTTGCTGACCCTGTGGTAGAAAATCATCCCCACAGTACGGTGCTGTAGAGACGACAGAGTCTCGTTTGTGTCCCTCCCGGTCTCCTATTTACTTTATGAAAACCATAGCATGACCGGTTTAGTGTAAAAAAAAGAAAACAAGAGTAAAAAAAAATTCTATTTTGAGGATGTAAGATAACTGGTTCCAATAGTAAAGTTCAATTGAAATGTGCTGGAGTTTGTAGTTGCACTGCGACAAAATGTGGAAAAGTTGAAGGAATACAAATACTAAGGAAGTGTAGCTTGTTGCTACCAAAACACATGTGCACTGTTTCTTTGCGCTCTTCTGTTGGCACGGTTATTTCCTCTGATTTTCACCGGCCAATCAAAAACAAGAAAGCGAGGAGAATTTGAGTTTAGACAGATTCACACTGAGGTTTAATCAGTGTCATCCATAGGATGACACATTCATCTACATCTGAGAAAGAAGCTGAATGGAGGTTGAGACTCCCACAGGTCCGATGACCTGGTGATAAATTCTTACAGCAACAAACCTAGAATCAAGTTAACACATTCCATAATCCAGCCTGGACTTGCCCTGCTGGCAGAAAGGCGCCTTTATAGAAGGAGAACATTCCTCTCTGATGGGAAGAGCCAATCAGAACAGAGGCTTACCTGCGTCCTCCTGTACTCGATCAGCTGTGACAGGCCGAAGACCGTCGTGACCGCCACACCTCCCACCACCGCCGCCTGTTTCAAGGCTCTTCTGAACGCCATGAGCCCTGCAGTGGAAGAAGCAGAAACCAAATCAGATTTATCACCTTTGTGTTCATCAGGTCTGACTCCACTTATGAAGTAAAAGCAAGAAAAAACATGCCAAACATTCATTATTTTAGTAGTATGCAGATGTTCTCCTGGTGTTTAACTGATGGTTGAATGCTACAAGTGTTATACAGCTCTTTGAACAAAAAAAAAAGACAATTAATAGTTTTTTAAACAAATGAGAGTATGAAATTTGCTGTCATTTTTAAAGAACCACTACTTTATGTAGTTACCAAAAAAGACAAAACAAAAAAAAAAGTTAACAATAAATAAATAAATAAATCTTCCCTGAAACTGGACACAGAAACCAGGGAGTCACTTTCCATATTTTCATACGTGAACCTTAACAAGCAGAGGATGATGGTGGAGCTGCTGGACCTCAACTCCCAGCAGGTGGGTTGGTATGAAATAATTTGCATAGCTGCTGTAATGCAGTTAGGATGCAGGTTTCCAGGGAACGCCACACAGAGAGGCAGATTCTGATGCATTTTAATAAACACAGCCGCAGATGGCTCAAAATGTCAGGGAGCAGTCTGGAGAAATGTATGACTTGGTACAAGCAAAAAGAATCTCCGTGCCACTTCTCAATGTGTAATGAGGTAATTTTAAGCTTCTTATGCATCCAACTTTTGAGAAAAGAAGAGATTTTGTTTTTTGTTTTTTTACAGACTAGTAAGCACAAAAAAGTTTTCATGCACCTTCTTTTGAAACGGGTAAGATATGAAACTGTTCTTCAACGTGTTTGTACTCATGGTGACCGTAACCTACAGAAACAAGACTTTTAAAGCCTCAACACATTTGAATATCTGAAAGTGAAATTACCTCCATACAAAAGAAGGATTCTGGGTAACGTCTTGGCCTGACTAATTCCAAGTAGGCAACTAATGATCAATTTAGTTATTGTTTCATCAATTTTCGGATGATTAATTGATTAACTGCATTAAACTTTGGCAGATTCTGGAGATTTTTCAGCTAAGCCCTTTTAGTGTATTAGACATACACTAAAAGATACAAATAAACACATTTTAAATAAGAAAACAAACATTTTATAGCCTAAAATGCAATAAGATAGAAGTTTTTTTTAATTGTTTGCTGCAGGTGCATCCTTTGCTGCAAATGATCAAGCATTCACTACAGTAATGCTACTGTCAGCAGGTGAAAAGCTCAGTCCTTTCACATCCCAGTGACACATCAGTGTAGGGCAGACTAAGATTTTTTCAGCTAAGGCCTTTTTATACATTTTTTATGTTTGTTTTGCTTTATTTGCTGCTTTGACTGTATTGTTCTCTCAGCAAACAGCCTTTTTTTTGGCTCTGCGTAGTCCAGTTAACAATTAGTTTACAATTTATTCAATAATCAATTAATCATGATTAATTGTTTCAGCCCTAATTCAAAAGATTAAGTTTTCTTAAATGTAATCTCACACTCCCCCCACCCCCACCTCTCTGTACTTTCTGATTCTAATACACAAAAATGAACATTTATGGTGGCAGATATTTCAACTGTTAGGCTTTAAAGATGGATGGATGTGCCATTCTTATTCAGCCTTTCCTTAAAATACTGAACTGAAGTGCATTCTCATTTTGATCCAGCCAATGTCAGAAACCCTCAAGCTCATAAGAAATTCAACTTCTTAACGTTCTTCTTCTACAGCTATATCCAGACATCACATTAAAACCCATTTGAAGCAGAATGCAGACTACAAACTTTGTTAAACCCTTTTGTTTTCATTTAAAGGTCAATGTAGTTGATAAAATAAACAGTCACAACCTGGATCCAGCTAAGTAAACAGATAAGCCGCTCTCAATAGAAAAAGAATTATATATTCCTGCTGATAACTAGTTATTAACAAACCCTGGAAACAATTATGCAAGTCCATACTCTGTTAAAAGTGTCACTGTTTATAGGAACATATTAAAACATAATTGAATGTGAGATGTCTTAAGAAAAAGAAAAAAAGAAAAAACTAAACGGAGAGCTGGGAGCAGCATAAACAGAGTATTTGATTTAGTCAGATTCAGGTTTAGAAACAATGGCAGAAGATTCATTTGGAGATTTGTGGCACATTTTAACTCAAAATGACCACTAGAATATATGTTTTTATATTTTTAAAAGACTTTACAACATAACTCTAAATGCCACATATAGACAGCTGTAGACTACAATTAATAATGCACAAACTGAAAGGAATCGGTTAAAAACGAAGGCCGTTATGCAAAACAGTGAATATTTTTCAACTATGTAGCTTGTGATATTTAAAGAAACTATAAAATGGTATAAGAACAATAAATATTTTAAAAAAGCACATAAGAAGTCTTATTAGCTGTTTGCCATCTTCTTGGATGCAGCAAGTATTTTGAAGAAGCTCAGATGGGATGAAATCTGAAACCACCTGAAACACACCATCCTACAAAAATGGTGAGACATGGTGGTGGTAGCATCATGCAGCAGGGATCCTGTTTCATTCAAGAGACAGAACATTTGTTTGAGTGTGGTTACAAGAAGTGGGTATGAATAGTTTTAAAGGCAATGCATTTGCCTAGTAATTATTAGTCACCAGAGGAGGGGGATTCCTGGATTAAGCAGTGAGCTCATGGCGAACTCTGTTTAGTTTTAACCACTTTTAGAGAGAAACGTGAGTTTATTATGTCTGTTTAGGAGCTTAATGTGTGTTAATAACTTTAACTGACTTATAACAGCTGCAGGTAACATTCGGCGTTGTACTACACTGATATATCTGTATCATGGCCACACATGAGGAAGTTGTTAAACTGTAACCTGCTGCTATGGCTTATACTATTACCCCATCATGGTTTTATTTAAAGGAGAACCAGCAGTAACTCTCAACTAAAGACTTTACATACATGGTTTTAACAGAATAAGCTGTATATCAGGGAATAAAAGACTGAATAACCGTTGAAGTCACACAGCTCTAAAAAGAAGAAGAAAGAGGTTTTGCTCTCATTTTGGCTCCATTCCAAACAAGACGGGTTTAAACGTATATTAAGTCCGAGTATAAAACTCCGGGGGAAAAAAACCCAACAGACAGTCTCCACTTACAGGAATTCTAGTGTTCCGGCTGAAAATGACGCTCGGTGTCCTTCTAGACGGCTGCTAATCAAACTGTCGCCGTTACTGTTGAGACGAATACAACCCAGGAAGCTACCTGCGTTACTGCAGAGACGTTTCGCCCCAGCCAATCAGAGCGCAGCACTTCCAGGATCTCCTCCAATGAGATATGAGGAGAGGAGGGGCCCAGACGGTGACGTATAGGGAAAGAATGCGTAGCTCTGATCTTCCTCTCTTGAATAATGAGGAAGAGATGAGAGGAGACGCCAGCTGTCGCTTTCTCTGACGGCAGGAGGCACGCAGGGGAAAGGAAAAGCCCTAACTGTTACGTGCTGGGATTGTTTTAGATTGTGTGGGAACTTGTATATGTCAACAAATCTCTCAAATCCCTGGGATCCAGATTCCTGTTACATTGTAACCGCAGATTAAAAACAAAATCTAACTAAAGGCAAAGTTGAAGCTCAGGAGATTTAAAAATTCACCATCATCAAACGCAACCTCGCAGAAGAGACGAACAAAAAGCATAATGGGTGTTATCTAATTTAACCAATGTAATTATTGCTAATATATTATTAACGTACTGCAATGTTGTTTTGCTAATTAATTAATATTCAAGCAAAGATTGGCCCAAATCCTGTTCACTTATTACATATAATAAGTGAACGGGAATTTTTGAATTCTCTCTCTCTCTCTCTC